ATTATAGTTCATCGATTTAAAGTGGATGCAGTAACCACATTTTACCACAAGGTGTCATTTTTACTTTGTTTCTACATAATGCACCTTTAATTAGCTGCTCTACAGTTTTTCTTATATACCTGCACCTTCCGTTCAGTCAGGAGGATGGTCTGGAAATAATCAACTTAGGCCTTTTCTCAGACACAAAATACTTTTCAAATTGCTTACTCAGCTTTCTGTGTGTTGTGCGATGTATCGACTGGATCCATACATCCTGCCGTCTTTTCTTTTCAGCGCTTGACCCATGGATGATTGCTGCACCATAAGCTCATGCAATCATTTGGAGCTCATCCACTTCCCCCTCATCGATTCTTAAGAATAAACATTCTTTTACCTGATTAAGTGTTGTGAGAGCTATATGTGCCAGCAGTATGGCCAAAAATACCCTGAGACCAGCCATGGCGTGTTTGTACTGAATGTACTATCACATTCACACCTACAGTGACGTTTTGTCCTTCCCCAGCCAGGCTGTGCAAGTTTATTATTAGACTTTGTGTGCGTGTGTATATGTACGTCTGTGTTTGTTTCATTCTAGGAACAGCTCCATTTCAAATAGTGGGCCATTAATAACCCTGGTACGCGTGGGGAGGAAGCTGAAAGGTTGGGGTGGGCTTTTTATAGCTGAGATTTTGTAATCTTACCTTTTTCTAAGAAAATACTTGGTGTTAAGAGGCAGGATTCTAGACATTAGTGTGGGATTTCTTTAGCCTCACATCTTTCAAACCCGAGTATGAAGTGTGCTGGTGACAACTCAGGGCTGTAAAAAGTGTTAGCTAGATAACATTAATGTCTTATTTTGGCTTTGATGATTCAGATGCTTTCGAGCAGCATTGCAAGGATGCAGATTTGTTTATTTTTTATGTTCAGTTAATCACATTAACCGAACATTTAAAAACAATTAAAGTACAAAAGTTAAAGGGTTACGATTAGGGTTTTGCACATAATCTCTCTCGCATAAAAATATTTCAGCTGTTTGCTGGCCACTCCTACTCATCCCCCACTCAGGCTGCTATATGCTGAGAAGCTCCAATATCCTGGAAGATGTTGGAGTAGAGCCGCTGCTCCTCCAGCTTCAACAGCCATTAGGCGTGTTTCCATTACTTGAACTTCAGGGTACATTTACAGGAACCTCCCTACATGCTTGACCGGGCCGGCCGAATGGCCGTTTTCAGGAACCTTCTGATTTTCAGTACCTAATCAGACGTGTGTACTCGGGAGTGGCCCTGTAAAAGGCCCGGTGCAGTTGGTGGGCGGGAACGCAGCAGATTGGTTGTAACTCAGTCAGAAATGACATCAAGAAATAAGAAATGCATATGAGGCTGAGATCCAGCATTTAGGAGAACACGATTTGTTGGCGCTTTTGGGTTTTGCGTGTTTTGCACCAATCGATGACGTAACTAACAACGCAGTGGTCATGATGGGCCGACGTTTTAGCAAATTCCTTACAGGGACAAACTGTAAATGGAGTCACGACAGCTAACAGGACTGGGCAAATGGATCTCCCGGTCAACTTCCTCCTCGCTGCATTTACCCTGAAGTTCCGGTAATGGAAATCCCTCTGCTATTGTCCATTGTCTCCAATAGAAAGTAGCTGAAATTGACCCAGAAAGTTGTTAGATGTCGCCACATGCTAATTTGCATTTTAATGGGTTATGGTTAGGGTTAGGGTATGTAATTCTTAAACACTGATAGAAAATGGATGGAAGGTTTTTTATTGAGGTTTGGAGTGTTTGTAGAGACAACAGAGACCCACATGGCAGCAAAAAAGACGCAAAATGTCACATTTGCATAACATGTCCCCTTTAAAACGAAACTTTCTATGAGACCTTGTGAAATGGTCATTGACGAGTGTGACAACATTTCATTGGGAGCTTTGAGCATGGCGTTCAAGTGGACCTCGCTTTTGCATTCTTTCAGAATGATGAATGTTGGCCTTCAGCAGAAATCTTTTCAGTAGTTTGAGAACGTGATGCAACAGATGAATTCAATGGCGCTCACATTCCAATTATCTTAAAATAACTGTGGCTTGAAAACAAGTTCTCGGTCATAAAAGGAACACATCATTGGATCCGAAAGGTCTTTTTATTTCTCATGGTAACAAATGCCCATATCTGACTTTGAAATGTCGATTACAAATCAAATCGATTTTATTGTCACGTCACATGTGCAGGTACACTGGTACAGTACATGTGAGTGAAATTCTTGTGTGCGAGCTTCACAGCAACAGTTGTGCAAAATACAATAACGTAAAAACAAGCAAAATATAAAAATGGCTAATATAAGTAATAATATATATAGTATTTAAGCTATATACATTCCTAAATGTGTGTGCTAAGTATTTTATTTTTTATTTTTCTACGTGTGTGCATGTGAGTGTGTGTATAATGCGTACATACATATTTAACAAATGAATAAAGTAAACAATAGAATAAGAGAGATAAAATGTACAGAGGTTGGTATGTGCAAAACAGTGGCATTAATGTACAGTATGGAGTGTGTAATGTTTTGATGTAAGATGAGGAGACGTTCACACAACTATTTGCCTCACCATGATTAAAGTTTAGATTCTATTTAGTTTTTACTGGAATGGCTTGAATGGTTGGTATGGCGGAGCATTCCTGAGCTTAGTCCTCCTGAATGTAGTCTATTTTGGCAGACGCAGTCGAAGTTAATCCCTCTCATATTTCTAAAAGCTTTGTTAGGTGTGTGTGAGCAATCACCCTCCGTTCAGCAGTCACAGCTACCGTCCTCCAGGGGTTACTCCAGGCTGTAGATCAATGGCCAAACCTACGTTGACTAAATGGCACATATTCATTTTAACCTAAGTTTTCTGTATAATATGACATCATGTTAGGTGGCTTAAGCAAATATTTGCTCTTGCAAGCTCAAGGTGCTTCTGTAAATGAGAAAATATGGAAAAGACAGAGATCCTGGTAAAAGAGATGTCACTGCAGACATTCAGATGATAGTAGACACATGCTATCCTTTGATTCAGAGGCATTCCTCCCTCATTTCATCTCCCTTTCACATGCCACCTCAAGTGCTAGCGTTTCCTGTATCATATATGGCTCAGTCAAGTCTGTTGAAGTGTGCTGCCAGCTGTGCACAGATGAAGGTGCTGAGATCTGTGTTATCTGGAATATCAAACGCATCCTCGATACCTTCTGCTGGAAGCTGAGATTAATTCAAGTGTGTGCTCAACAGATGGGGAGCAATCGAGACATATATAACCGACCCTGCTAAGGGTCATAATGGTATTGAAGTGCAGAAGGTTTCCTGACCTTTTAATTCATGAGAATATGTGATAGAGTTTATTTGTGCAGGTCATTTGTTTGTTTTTTAATGGAGAAGGACATATTGTGAAAATCCCCCCTTCCTACATGTTGAGCGCATTCTGTGAATTTAATGTATGTGAATGTGAATTTAACTTTTTCATTCAAAATTATTATTTAACTCATTCGCTGCCAGCCGTTTCCTGATCACTAACGGCCTTTGCTGCCAGCGTTTCTCACCGTTTTTACTGTTTTTTTAAGAGTCACAGAATGTTGCGTGCTAGCATGATGTCGATGCCAAAACAACCAAAACAAAGAGGAGACTCACCTCTTACATCAGGAAGAATCCGCGTGTTTCGAGCGTTATCCGTTCTTTCATAATCCGTGGTCGAATTGTGATCGGCAGACGCTTTTCTGGTTCGCGCCTCACTTTTTTTTACAGGAACGGCCCAAAACGATCTCCTAATACATGGATGTGTTGCTTCCTGATCACGTGACATGTGACGTATGCAGATGAAGATCAGCTTCAGGGCTGAGATGTTTGTTCTCTTAGCGCGGGGGCTCGTTCTGATGCTAAAACAGTAAAAAAAAAAAATGCAAATGACGACTTTAGTCGTCATTGGCAGTGAATGAGTTAAAGAGAAGTTTTGGCCATTTTTAAGTGTGTTTATGTGTAAAAATGTTTACTATTTTACAAATTGTCCCAAATAGCATGAGTCACTTCTGGAGTAGTGAGCTAGCGGCTACTTTGAGCATAGCCCAGACCAAAGTGAAGTGCTGTCTTTTTATGAAAGCTCCAGTTTTCCAAATTTCATTGCCGTTCATTTGGTGTTTTTGTTTACTCCATCATTAATTTCATATTGCACTACTGTTTTCGAAGAAAGGTTAGGAGTTTTGAACGCACAAGCAGTGCTTCATTATGTGCTGGTGATGTTGAAGCTTCTGATTAGATTGAGTCGTGTTGCAACGGACAAAATGTGCAAATTTGAAATTGTGCACAAATGAAATGCATAGTAAGGCGATTTATGTGGAAATATATATTAACCACGCAAAACTGAATCATCCGATGTAAAACAGAAGCAGCACTTAATTTAGATTGAGGTGACAGATTTTTTTGTTCAGTAAAATGATCCGTTGTCAAAGAGTAACAGTCACATGACCGTGACTGGCCGATCGCTAATCTGGTCATCAGGTTATCGGTCATCTGTACTTTCCTTCTATGTCACAAGCTCTCCTCGAGCCGGATTGTTTGTTCAAAGGTTGCTGAAAAACAGTAAGTTCCCCGTGGTCTACTCATTCTGATCCTCGGTCAGTTCTGTCACCCGTAGCGCGAATGGTTTTCTACAAATAACAGAATAACTGTAATTGTAAAGGTTTATAAAAAACCTAGCTTGATCTGAAATTTGGGAGATTAGAGTTGTTTTAGGATGGTTGCAATCCACATAGGTCCTAGCTGCTTTCAGACTAGCCGTTAGCTCATCAGTCCTCAAGAAACATAAAGATATTTCTCCAAACTCCAATGAGTAAAAGTAATCAATCAACATTTCTACACAAAAACACACCTCAAAAACATAGTTTTAAAGTGGATTAACAAAGAAAGACAAATAGCTTGTTATAAATGCACGAGAACAAATATTTCATAGTCCATCAAATACTTAGGCTGCATCACTGCTTCCCTGTCACTCTCAGGACCACTTGTCTCTCCACACTCTCTCCCGAACAATCTGGACAGCAACAAGGCAGCGGAAAGGCGGCCGTCCAAAGTAGGGGTCAGTAGAGAAAGCAGCAGTGTGGACTTCAGCAAGGTAACCCCATTACAGTACTGAGCACAGACACAGTCCATCACGGTGGAATGGTCCAAGATTTGCTTCATCTGTGTTTTTATTCACTTTCTGGGCTGTCATCCCAGCATCTTGTACATATAAGCTAACTTCACTTCACCCACCAGCTCCTTTTCCTCTCAGCTCACTAAAAAAAGTACTTGAGCCACTGCTCATTTTCACTTTTTTACCCAAATGATCGATCGACAAATGAAATTCGATTTACATAGTTATATAATAGTTTTTTAATCCACCTCCACTGCATGTTTTCCTTTCATGCTGCCATTGAAAGAAATGGCAGGCTGCCATAAGTTGCTGTTACGCAACCGGCCAATATTCCTGTCAAAAAGTAGGGTGCAGTGTGTAAATGAGTCACAGGATGCAGGAAGCTGAAGCCATTTTCATCTCCACTCAGAGATTTTCACCATGCAGACATGAATACTGATCTCAACAATGGACCCTCTTTGCTCAGTACTATTTGATAGTTCCTACTAAACTTTGTAATGTTTACTCCCAGCTGCTCTTGTCACCATTTTTTGTTGTTTGACCCTGATGTGCTTCTGCATGTTGTTGTCTCTTTTCTTAAATCGTCTACCCACAGCTTCCCTTTTCTCTGCCCATTTCACTTTTTTCTACACGACTTCCCCATTTTACGGCTTTCAGGTGGACATGAATTTCATGAGGAAGATTCCTCCGGGCGCAGAGGCGTCTAACGTGCTTGTGGGAGAAGTGGACTTTTTGGAAAAGCCCATAATTGCGTTTGTACGACTGTCACCAGCGGTCCTTATCATCGGCCTCACTGAGGTGCCTGTTCCCACAAGGTGTGGTAATCCCAAACTGCATGGCTTTACTTCTAAAATTAGAGGCACTGACGTTATTTCATTCTGAACTGAAACTAATTAATTTGTTAAACTTTTAATTGCAGCTGGAGGGGATTTACAGCTGCTTTATGTTCTTTTTGTCATGTTCTAGAAAAGGGACTAAATAAACATTGTTTTGGAAAGTGAAAACACAACTAAAGGATGACTTTCTAATGTGAATCTTAGTCACCCCCTAATTAAAAGGTTTGAAATATTCATTAGACTTCAGTAGGTTAAAAACAAGAACAATGACCAAGTTTACTTAAGATAATATCAGGGATTTTTATTAATAATAAAAAAAATGTGTGTCCTCTGCAAAGGTTTCTTTTCCTGCTTTTGGGCCCTCATGGTAAAGGAGCACAGTACCATGAAATTGGCAGATCCATGGCCACACTAATGACAGATGAGGTGACCAAATCCACTTTTTTCACCTTGATTCTCTAGAAAATCCTTTAAAAAAATAACTATTTCTTTCATACAGTTCTAGTTGAAGATGTTTTCTTGTATTTATTTGATTTTTCGATGTTTCACAGCAGAATTTTTTTCTGTAGACACAAACTTTTTGATATCCTGATCTGATTTTCATGTATAGATATTTCATGATGTGGCTTACAAGGCCAAAGACCGGACGGACCTCCTGTCTGGGATAGACGAGTTCCTTGATCAGGTGACTGTTTTGCCCCCTGGTGAATGGGACCCCACGATCCGAATAGAACCCCCCAAAAACGTTCCATCTCAGGTTAGTGAGTCCCTCTGTCTTAAACTGATTTAACCAAAAGAGCATGCTAGTATGTTTTTGTATGGTTGGTAGTAGGGATGTGTGTTGGTGACACTCTGGCGATACGATACGTATCACGATACAGGGGAGACGATACGATATATCTCCAGGGTTTCCCCCAGATGATGAGTTAAGCCTGGCGGATTCGGCCGTCAAAGAGAGAGGGGGGTGGGGTGGGGTCGCACGCTCAGTCCTGCAGCGTTCCGCCGTGAGAGCGGAGGTGGGGGTTGCACACGTTCCGCTGCTGCTTCTCACCAGTATCAGCCGATGGAGGGTAGGCTTGGGTGGTATCCAAATTTGAATACCGTCTAACTTCCTCTTAATTTTACCATGGTATACGGTATTACCGTGAATACTTAAAAAGTATGGCATAAGCCTCAAGTGGACCTTCACCTTTCCGAATCCGAATACCAAACACTAAAAAAATAACAACGTAACTCACATACTATTAACAACATTTATTAACACACACAAAAACGCAGCTTATAAACGAGTGCAAAGAGTCAACAGTCCAACAGCAATAAATCAACATAAAAACCCAGGACAGCAGTTGTGCACAAATCAAGTGAACAACTTACCAACGAGCAGCATGAAACTGTGCAAATAGGCCGTAACAGTCAACAAGAGTTGAATAACCATAAACGTTGAAATTATAAAAATTATTGCAACCAAAACAACTGCATTAAAATTATAAAAAGCAAACTCTCCCTCACACGGCCACACGCGCGCACACTCACACACACAGGAGTGTGAACATTACGGCATGTTGCAGCAAATCTAGTTAAGATTTCTCGCCAGAAAAACCAGCATGTTTACTTTTTCTGGGTTCAGATTTGCACGTTGTGGACCGACAACTTTACCTGCGGTGCTGAAAACCCGCTCCGATGGTGAGCTGGTGGCACAAGTACATAGATACCTCCGGGCCATTCGTGACATCCGGGGGAAAACGACTGGCAGCATATTTCCACCAGAGAGGAGGATCTTCGTCCCCTTGAGTAACAGGTTCCAAACAGTACGCTGTTATTTCAGCTCCAGCTCACTCCTCTGCGCTGACGGGACCCTCCGGCGCAGCGTCAGCTGCTCGCTTTTGCAGGAGAGCTCCCAGAGACATCTTTTTGCATGGGGTTCAGGTTGTGCTCGTTCCTCTCTGGTTCGGATGGCCACTGCTTCTGGTGCTAATTGCCCCTCTAAGCTCACGATCTCAGCCTGTATTTCAGCTTTGATTTCAGCCAGTGCGTTGTCATCAAGTTCACATCTGCCACGGTAACGAGGATAGAGGAAAGTGCATTTTCGCATTAATTGGCGCACTGAATCAGATTCATACTTGGCCTCCAGCTGTTTTAGAATTGTGGTTTTCATTGACTTTGTAAGCTGGAGGTCGTTTTCTGACACAGCCAACACGCTCTCCCTGCAGAGCTGGAGTATGGGGAGGATAGAGGAACTGGTCACATAGTTTTCACCAGACAAAATGCCAGTGAAGTCACCAACAGGTTTCAGTGCGCCGTTCTCAGCTTTCAAGATATCAGTATCCTGCCAGTGCAGGGACAGGTTGCTGCTTCTGTCATCAGACAGGACGAGCTTGATGGCTGGGGCCTGCTCGAGGATGCGCTCCACCATTGCCAGTTTGGAGTCCCAGCGAGTTGCGCAGTCCTGCCGACGGATGAATGACAGACTAAATTCATAACTAAATAAATAAACAAATTCTATTGTTAGTTACATGATCTAACGTTATCAGATTCAGATATAGACTAAATGTATGCTTACTGTTATGAGACTATGCTCTGGGAGTCCCAACTCCACTTGCTTCTTGTGGAGTTCACTTTTACGTTGCCAGCTGCAGCAGAGGAATTGAAATGAATGGAACTATAGCATGTCTTATTTATATCTCTTTTGACCTTTAGTTGAAGAGAAAGAGACCACAACAGGCCAACGGCAGTGCAGCGCCAGCTGGAGAGCAGGAAAAAGAGGATGACCACCATGCAGGGCCTGAGCTTCAAAGAACTGGGAGGTGAGTGAGTGGTGGACAGTATCTTAACACAGAATCACATTTAGAAATGGTTATCATATTGGGTCAATATAACTTCTGTAAAGTCAGTTTCACTTGTTTTACACGTGTTGAATCATCACAAAAATGTGTCATACTTACTAGTGTTGTCAAAAAAATCGATACCTAGATATAAATCGATGCTAAAAGTGGTATCTAAATTAGATATTCCATCCCTGTGGTATCGATATTATGGACTATGATACACAGCCTTCTTCAAGTACACCGACACGCACGACAGCCAGATGCCGTAAAGCAGCCTCCGCCTCCCAGACAAACAGAAGAAGAAGACGCCGCATGGCTACATTGCAATTTCCCACGCGAGTTGTCTCCGATCCAAGTTTTGTCTGCCAAATAAATAAACAAAAACATAAACAGCAAATTTGGGAGGCGCTTCACAGCCCAACTTAATTAGCATACCAAGTCCGACACGTAGTTGTATATTCACGCTTATGTGCTTAAAGGAAACTCCCGTTTATTGCAACCCGGACTTAATTTCTAACATGCAGTACGTTTGTTTACTCACGCTGACAACTTTGGTGCTACTTGGATTCCCCGGGGTATTTAGATCCATCAGCGAATCGCCATCAGTGTTTATCCATATAACAGGTGCGGACGGGCACCCATGGTGCAGCCTCGAAATAAGACATTATCTGCACCAAACATCTCAATGTCGAAAGGTTTTGTTAGGAATAATTAACGTGATTCCCCTGTTCGTTTGGAGCGGGTCTGGGATTTCTAGGCGTAAACAGACTAGCCGCGGATAATCTAACCGGCGCTTTTAATGACGTCACTGCCGTGCGCCAATCTGTTTTTATTAAGATTACCGGTAGATGTACCTTTGTCCTACTGTGGAGAAATTCGTTTTCTCCCTTTATTGACCAACAGAGTTGTTCAAAAGTACAGAACAAAACATATGGCATTACATCTTATGACAAAAATGCACCTTAAACAGAGTTTAAGCAGCAAAACATCACTCTGCAAATAGTGTATATATAGTGAGACAATTCATGATTTAAAGTGTTAACTTTCGCCAGTTTTTGTATGCACGTTTTAAAAAATGCTGATACTTGAAAGGTTTAAGCACTTTACACACTTAATTCTTAACATTGAATTTTTGCAATATAAATTGAGGAATGTTATTTTTTGAATAAACTTGTTCAATAAATTGGTGTTTTTAAATAGTATCAAAATCGAGTATCGAGTTTTTTTCCAGTATCGAATCGAGTTTGAAATTTTAGTATCGTGACAACCCTAATACTTACTGTAAAAGGTACACCGTGTCCTATCATGGGGCTGCAGATGAAACAGGGATGGTGAAAGGAAGAGGCATGTCATACTGAGTTGCTGCAGGTTTTCAGCATCCAACACATTTACCAATAAGAATAAAGTTAAAGCAGATGCACACCCAATCAGCAAATCCTATCAGGGAGAACAAGTCATCAGTAAGTTTGGTCAGCACGCCGTTGATGGAACCAAAAGAAAATAGTTGAGGACCCAATCACAGCCAGTGTTGGCCTCATTTAACTCATCCACAAGAAAATACATCAGCAACATTTACAGAAACCACTCTGTGTTATGTCATACATCGTTACTGGTATTGAAATTGTATCTATTGGGGTTTAAGCATTTGGTAATATTTCACATCCGTATAAATTTTATTATAAGTTTGAGCTACTGTTAGCTAAATCCTCAATGGACTTTATGCTCGTTTAAAAAAGCTAAATGATTCTTTTGGAGCAATTATTAAGAAGTGACTTGTAACTAAACTTTCATTCAAATGCCCAAAATAACTAGAACCTGTGGATCTTTGTTATTAAATATTGCTTTAAGCAAGCCCCGTGTTCGTGTGTCATGCTGAGGTTAGGAGGCTTGGACCCAAAATGCAAGAACCCAGAACTACACAGGCAGGAGCGGTTGCAAAAATAAGAATCCTTTATTTTTAGAGGAGTGACAAAAAAAACTCTAAAAGCACAGGAGGCGATTAGAACATTGCTGACAAAGACAATGGACCAACTAACGCTGAGAGACAAGACAGAGTTATATACACAGGCTGGGTGATCAGAATCAGAAAAGCTTTATTGCCAGGGCTCCAGCGTCCCGAAGCATAGAAATTTGACTCCGCATCACAGCCTGACCAAGGTTACACACACACACACACATGTAGACAAAACAGATACAGGCAGACCACGAGAGCAGCCAAGAACGGCGCTCATTTCATTTAGATGAAAAGGGGATTACATGAGGATAAATTGGGGGAGGGGGGAAAAAGGCATTTCAGAGTTACTCCCGACAGGGCGTAGCTTTGCTATGCAAAAAAACACCTCAAACATATAAGCACGAACATCAACAGTTCACAACATGAGACTCCAGTAGGAAGGCGGGGGGGCCTGGGATCCTGTTTCCCCCAGCGAGAGCAGCCATCTAAGGTGCTCATCTACTGTACAGTCACAGGTGGGAGGGAGATCTTGGAAGAAGCAAAGAGCACACTGACTCCTCCAGCTGATGACCTCGTCAGGCTGGGGGGGGGGGGGGTCACGGGATTTGTCTGCATTCCTTCGTGGGGGTTTTAGTTGCTTGCAGCTCAAGGCTACCAGGGCGTCAGATTCAGATAAGAATTTGTTTGGGTCAGGCTGAGATAATTTTCCTCTCTGCCGTCAGTCTTTAAACTGATCGTTTCCAGTCCTTCAGTGAAGCCAATTTTGGGTTTTAAGCTTAAACGTGTCCATACCGTCCGGTGATTCTCTCCGAGGTGACATCCATTTTGCGCACTAATACCGGTATCGCAGCTAGAACATTGCCCAGCTTACGATTCACCTCGAGTAACGTCCCAGTCTGAGAAGTCTCCACATGGACGATGCTTTTCATGGGTGCGGGTCGCCCTCCAATCGCTCCCGTCTTCCCAAATTTCCAGAAAACCAGATATCCTCCCACTCCAATCGGGAGAAATCCAGTGATCATCAGGCCGAATATCCACACATCTTCGATGTCCTCAATGGACAGCTGGCAGAGGCATATTATCTTCCACTCCTTCCAGGAATTCAAAATATATCCCACCAGGTGCGTCCCCTGTGGACATGTGGGAGCCCCCTGGGAACTGTGCACAGGTGAGACTAATAAACTGAGAGGAGGAGCAGAACGGGGCAGGGGAGGAAACCAGACCTATATGGGGAAGGAAACAAAATGAACTAAAGGGAGATACAACCTAGATAATCCAAACATACAGAAAACTAAAGAAAGGTGAACTGATAAACCTGAAACTAGAAACACTCGGGGTCAGATATAGGAACTTAAAGAGACCAGAACCAAAGAAAGAGGAGATATAAACAGGAGATCTTAATACTGAAAATGGGTAAACTAAATAAGAAGTGAGTGCCAGGGGGGAACACGACGGAAACCTGGAGGGGGCTGGGGACCACAGGGACACAGAACATGACACCGTGACACTTATCACTCCATGCTCTTCTTCTTTGTTGACTTTAAACAGCAGTTTTATGCTTGTTTTATGACAGTGATAAAATCTTCTGTTTAATGAAGCCTATGAAATGACTTCATTCAGGTACGCAAACATATGGCAGAGGTTAGATAGAAGTCGAAACACAATTTTTAACATCATTTTTGCCATAAATCTGTGTTTTTGTACACCAAATTTAAACATTCAGTAAACACAACACTGTTATGTGACTGAGCGACAGGTACTGCTGTGTAATGTAGCTGCTGACATTAATGGACAAACTGATGGTCTGGAGCCAAAGCCAAAGGCAGTGAGAATGTGTTTATTTGAAACCTCACACATATCAGTAAGCACTCTATCCTTTACAAAATCCTGCTCCATTCCTCCATTTCTATAAAAGGTTAGTGCTATGAAGGAGCGACTGGAGGACAGCTGAGTGAAACGAACGAAAGAGCTATCAAAAACATGTGCTCCGTACAAGAGACAGCAGGGGATGTGAAGGCAGGCTGTAGAAGTTTTGTAGACGGGTGTGTGTGGGTGGGCGTAGGTAAGGGTGAGTTTCCTTGGTGAGAAAAGAATTTCAAAAAGTTCCTCAAAAGTTAAATTAGAATAAAGATTATATTTGAATCTTTAAGAAATAAATGAATAAGAGGGGTGTTTATTGGCAAATATCAGGCAAGACAATATATATCATAATACAGGTAGATATACAACAAACATCACAGCACGATACAATATGTATCACAGTAGGATACGATATATATCACAATACAATGCATTTTACATTACTGGGGAGATGGTACGATATTGCGTTACTAAAAGCAGGATGATACTTGCAATTTTTTAACTGAATTTCATTGGAAAACTCAGGCCAGACCCTATTAAGACACATCAAAGTTATTGTGAGATCGTGTTCCATCAGAATGAGTGTGGTAATAATAGCTGCCGCCTAACATTTGGAGTTCGAAATGCACAACACAAAAGAAATTAAATAAAAGCTAAAAAAAAAAAAAGTTGATACACTGCTTTTGAAAATCAAATCAATATAAAAACATAGAATATTGCAATATTGCTGTGTATTGGTATTTTGTTACATCTCTAATGAATAAAGATGGTTTGTATTGAAGTTGTATTGAGCTCTAAAAAGTGCAATGTCTTTGCTTAATAATGATTTTTAGCTCTTTTCCTATATTCTAGTGTTGGTTAGTCTTAGCTCCATTTTAAAGCATCACAGAAGTACACTTGATTTAAATTATAATCCTAAATGTATTTAGTCGCGTCATCGCTAAAAATCATGTAAAAAGAATGAAAAGGTTCTTAAGCGCAAATAAAAAAATCTCATCAAAGCTCAGGAATCCATACTAAAAGTGCCTCCTCTGATCTGTAACCATAAACTGTTGTGCCATTTGAAAATCCCGTCTGTTTTCCCCCCTACAGGATTTTTGGTGGTTTGATTCTGGACATTAAGCGGAAAGCACCTTTCTACTGGAGCGACGTTAGGGACTCATTCAGTCTTCAGTGTCTAGCCTCCATCCTGTTCCTGTACTGCGCCTGCATGTCCCCCGTCATCACATTTGGAGGTCTACTCGGAGAGGCAACGAAGGGCAACATAGTGAGTCATGGAGACCAGCTCTTACCCCGGGTTTCCACCGGAGCCGTCAGCAGCACGTTACTGCAGCAGCACGTCTTGCTCGCGTAAGCTGCTGCTCGGCCCTTCCCACGAGACGCGAAGCAGCAGGGGAGCAGCTGTCACCAACCGAGCACGAAGTCACACGAGTGACTTCGTCAGTAAACACAACAACAAGCAGGAGAAAACTACAACATGGTTTGTGTTTTATGTTCTGTCCGTTTTATAATCGCCAATACGGACCTGAAAAACAAAGGAGACCGCTAGCTAGGTGATAACTTCTCACGGGGACGCACAGTTAGTAACCTTTTTTAAAAGTAAACCAACCAGAAGGCAGTACGTTCTTTATTCTGAAAATCTCGGGAGCTTCTCTCCATTTCCGCGTCCGATTTCCTGTCTTTCCTTCCCCAAAAATGTCGAACTTGACCCGTTTCAGAGGCGTCGCGCGTAGAAAATAGAACCGGCGCATAAAGGCCGCGACATGCTGCTCCTGAGACGCGGCCGACTCGCGCTGCTGACGGCTCTGGTGGAAAGCTGGGGTTAGGAGTCAGCGCTTGAGCTTTTTATGAACTCAGTGGGAAGTAAAGCCTAAAGTCCCAGGTTCAGCGTTCAGATGAGTCCTACTCCCCTGTTCACATCTGTCTGGCAACAGAAGTAGACTTAATCATACATCATAGAAAAGAGACGCAAAAGCAATCAAGGGGAGCAAACGACATGTTTCAATCAACTGATGTCATTACGTCCAATGAAAATAAAGAAATGAAAGCCTTTCAAGGCTCCTGTTATCTAATTAGTCATTTCCTGTCCGTCACTTCTTTTATCAATCTGGAAGCTGTTCAAAACGAGGTTGCTCCTCCCCCTCCTGTGGTTGCCCTTTATCCAGATGGCCTTACTGTTAGACACTGTCAGCTGATGTGTGTAATGCGTCTAAGTAAACTCAGCAGGCGAGAGCTTCACAGAAAAATGAATTCAGACAAGTCAGTGGAGTGGAGTAATTTTCACCAGTTCAACCAGGCGCTCAGACGCAACTCAAAAATTCTTTTAGGTCCAGGCTCTCAGTTTTCACGGTTGGGATCTCTTCCTCACGCCCCTTTCTTCTTCAGCTTTTCCCTCTCAATCCTCCTTTTTACTTTTTATTTTTCCCAGTCCTCCCTTTCTTATTCCCACTCTCCATCCCTTGTCCCTGTCTCCACAGAGTGCAATAGAGTCTCTTTTCGGAGCTTCGCTGACAGGAGTGGCCTACTCCCTCTTCGCAGGCCAGCCCCTCACTATTCTCGGCAGCACTGGGCCTGTTTTAGTGTTTGAAAAGATCCTCTTCAAGTTTTGCAAGTGAGTTTGGGATAGATGATGATATAGTTGGACCTTGATGTTAATGTGTTCACCAGGTTGTATTCCTCCCTCTCCTAGTGATTATAGCTTATCTTACCTGTCGCTGCGGACCAGCATTGGTCTCTGGACGGCCTTCCTGTGTGCTGTGCTGGTCGCTACAGATGCTAGCTCACTGGTCTGCTACATCACCCGCTTCACAGAGGAGGCCTTTGCGGCACTCATCTGCATAATCTTTATCTACGAGGCTCTGGAGAAGCTGTTTCACCTCGGAGAATACTTTCCTGTCAATATGCACAACAGCTTAGACAATCTGACCTTCTACACGTGAGTGCTGACGTTAAGTTAAGACCCTGTACACACGTAGCCAGATATTTTTCTATGGTTTGGCCTGTCGTACACACAAAAGTAAAGAGAAATGCCCAAAAATTATTCTTTAAAAAATTCCAACCAAAGTGGAGATTTGCAATCTCTTCGTTGTCAGCGTTTGCTTTTGGACGTGAATAACCGGGGTTTGCGGTTTCGCAACGTCAATGCCCAAGGCAAAAACGCTCAGTCATTATGTTTGCGACTTGTTTACTCTCGCTTACTTGTTTTTACAAACTCAATTACTGCTCAGTGTGGGCGGCATTAAGGACGGTTATTGTCTGCCGCCTCGTTATTTCATGGAACATTTTTCTGCAAAGACTCCAACAATTTGGGGAACTGCTGCCACCTACAGGCTTGGCATGCCTATGAATGCACTTTACAATGCACTGGATATTTTGCTTAAAACAAGGTGGAGTGCACTCAAGTCTTTTCCTAAGCCGCTTTTACAAAACAATGCCGTCAATTTGCTGCAGCGGTAATGTGGCGCAATCATATCTTTTTTTTATAAAAGATTGGGCGATGGCGGCATTAAGGAGGTATGGGGGTGATCTCTGCGCTGCTGCCGACTTCCGTTTATCTTGGACGCAACTTGCTTTCAATTTGAGTCGAAGCTGCGATCGTTACGTTTTTTTTTTTTAACAAGCCATTCATAAAGGTGTCTGTCCCCCACAGTCCCCGTGCTGTCTCTGGTGATCTGAGCTCCAGAAGAGCTGCAATGCCTCCAGTTTGCCATCTCAGCTGATTTTGTTCAAAAAGCAAAACTTATTGCGTTTACTTTGATTTTCATTATAGTTGCCGGCCGGAGCTCGGCAGTAATTCCCCACGTCATCATGACACCTCCCTCTGTTGCGCCATGGTGCAATCGCTGTTAATTGGACAGACAATTACTACGGGGGCGACGGTGGCACAGGAGTTAAGTGCTCGCCCCACAATCGGAAGGTTGCAGGTTCGAGCCCTGCTCAGTCTGTCACTGTCATTGTGTCCTTGGGCAAGACACTTAACCCACGTTGCCTGCTGGTGGTGGTCGGAGGGACCGGTGGCGCCAGTGCTCGGCAGCCTCGCCTCTGTCAGTGCGCCCCAGGGCAGCTGTGGCTACATTGTAGCTCATCCCCACCAGTGTGTGAATGTGTGTGTGAATGGGTGAATGACTGATTGTGTTGTAAAGTGCCTTGGGGGGTTCCAGGACTCTAGAAGGCGCTATATCAAATACAGGCCATTTACCATTTACCATTTACCAAGCGAAGCGGAACGAATGCCGCAAAATCCATGCAACGCCATACCGGCGTGGCGCGTTTATAAGACACACCGTTGCCGTAATATTACACTTATTTGCCGGCACGGTGTGTCTTGTAAAAAGGGCTCTAGGAGGGTGGGAGAGGATTTTCGGTGTTACAAAAACCCGGCTACGTGTGTTCATGACCTGAATGTTGTGTTTTTACCACACAAGCAAGAAGCTGGTTGCTCTTTCTTTTTTATAATTAAGTGTTTATTGAAATGCTTTCCAGTAGCCCGTGAGGGATACCAATAAAATAATACATTGCCATATTTGGTATTACTTATGGATCTTCTATAGCTTGTGTTTGTGTTCGCTTTAACTGACATTAATTTAGTTTATTTCTTGCATTAAGAAGAAGGTGCTGATTTTTCTAAACATTGTTTTCTTTTTGTCCCCAGGTGTCAGTGCTTTCCACCAGTCAACGCGTCAGACCAGCTGATGCAGCGGTGGAACCAGACAGGTTACCACAGCTCCGGCTCCATCCCATGGAGCAGCCTCAACGTTTCGGTGAGATGGGCTCACAGTGACCTCTAGTGTGTGAGACGGTTATTATAACCTCTGTATAAAGCTGCTTTGGTGTTTATCCTCATTTTAGAGGAATAACTTATGATAACAGTAACGAGTTAAAGTTAAAAAAAGATAGCAAAATTTCATTTGAAATGCTTGCTGATGCATCAGGATTTAACATAATTTCGTATTCAACCTCTCAAGATAAAGACAGTGCTGGGTGCTGTTCAGTGAGAGCCATCAAGAGCCAAATGTTTGTAATCGTTAACTGAAGCAGGCGGATCCTCAGTGAGAGGACTCTGTGGGGATTTGCTCAGATAGAAGTTCAGGAAGCAGCAAGGAAACGAGGCGAGCTGCAAACACTTCCCTCCGGTGTGCAGCAGAAACACCGGGAGAGGTAAAAGGTGTTGCTATCCGAGCAGCTGAGACCCAGTCTGAATGTTGCCACGACAACAATCATCATCACCACTGACGACCGAAGCAAAGTAATCCTGCTTTAAGGTTTATCCCTGCGGGTTTAAAACACAACGTAAAAATCTTGCTGCAAGAAAACAAACTATGGGAAGAAAGGAACATAAACTCATAATAACCCATGACTCAGACATCGAAGGGCACCTGACTCTGATATGTCACTAACCTTACAGCTGATGGAGCAGCTATCCTCTCTCCTCTCCAGATGTGTAAATGGCTCCATGGGGAGTTTGTGGGTCCTGCCTGTGGTCACCATGGTCCCTACATCCCAGATGTTCTCTTCTGGTCTATCATCCTCTTCTTCACCACCTTCTTTCTATCCTCATTCCTGAAGCAGTTTAAGACAGATAGATACTTCCCCACTAAGGTGAGATGTTTAAAAGGCATAAAGTTCTGCATTAAATGGTATAAAATGTGAATTTTAATTAGAAAAACTTCCATCGGGGCGTGTTTTGTTTTTGGGTTCATGCTTGTGTGGGTGGATGGATCTAAAAGCTTCTCGTGGTTTTGTAAATGTTTACATTGCGTCAGTCATTAGTATGCCTGAGCAGTCTCCTGTACGAAGGAGAAAGCTTCTCGTGTCCTCCCACACGTGTGTAAGTTGGTCTGTTGTCATTTGGTGAAAGCAGACGTGGTCTCAAGCGTTCCTCTGACTGGTGCGTGTTTGCCCTGTAGGTGCGTTCCACCATCAGTGATTTTGCTGTTTTCATAACCATCATGATCATGGTGTTGGTGGATTATCTGATGGGGATCCCCTCTCCTAAACTGAATGTTCCGGACCGCTTTGAAGTAGGCATCAGCTCCAATTTTAAACATTTTTTCTTCCATTATATATCTTCTACTTCTGTTTTATGCTACTTATACTAATTATAGCTCGGGTTTTACCCATTTAGCCAACTTCAAAGAACAGAGGCTGGTTGATGGATCCATTAGGGGAGAATCCCTGGTGGACGCTGCTGGTGGCGGCACTTCCTGCTTTGCTCTGCACCATCCTCATCTTCATGGACCAGCAGATCACTGCAGTCATCATCAACCGCAAAGAGCACAAGTTAAAGGTCAGACTTAACTTGGGCAGTTTTATAAAAGTTTCTTAAATGCTCATCACACCACCTCTTTGTTTCCTTGGGTGTTCTACAGAAAGGCTGTGGCTATCACCTGGATTTGCTGATTGTATCAGTAATGCTGGGCGTGTGCTCTATTATGGGGTTACCATGGTTTGTGGCGGCCACTGTCCTGTCCATTTCCCACGTAAACAGCCTGAAGGTGGAGTCTGGTTGCTCTGCACCAGGAGAACAGCCCAAGTTTCTGGGCATTCGCGAGCAGCGGGTCACAGGATTCATGATCTTTGTCCTCATGGGCTGTTCTGTTTTCATGACGTCAGTTCTGAAGGTAGGGTGGAATGTCGGTGATGTGCAGGAAGGTATCTGTCTTGTAAAGGGGTGTATGGGACAAGATTTGTGCCAAAAGGATATATCCAAAAAAATAATAATAATAATAAAGTCCCACGTGAAATATACCTGAATAAAGCAACCAAAAACAACATTTTTCTGAAGCAAAAGTGTGAATTTCTAAAGCAAAACAAATAAATAAATTCATCACTCTAAAAACAAAAGGATTAGATATTAAGACATCTCTATGTTTCAGAACTTTTCTTATTTTATTTCCTTGACACGTTTTGGTTCTCACTTAATTCTGCATTAAGCAGACTATTTAGGCTTTTATTCTGAAGAGCATTTTATGGATTTGCCAACAGCTCAGTCTCAGTGGGAGGGACTTATCCGTGCTTCGATCTTTGTTATGAGGGGTTGGAGTGAGCGGCTTGTGCTGTTTCCCATACACAAACTTCCACTGTGACATTTTGGTTGCTTCAATCATGTACTTTTGGTACTAATCTTATCCCATACAATGTACTTTTGGTGCTAATTTTATCCCATAGACCCTACTGTAAGCTCTAAATAATTCGCACTATGATGTTCTGTGCTGCTTCATTCCTGCTCTCTCTAGTTTATTCCTATGCCGGTCCTGTATGGAGTCTTTCTCTACATGGGGGTCTCGTCCCTTAAAGGCATACAAGTAAGAGACTCTGCTCTGCCCGTCTTTGAAGAATATAAGCCTGTTAATTCAAAGCAGAACTGCTGTTAGACAATTGTTCCTCCTGAACTTCAAAACCCTTGATTCAAATTCCATGAAAGCTTTAAGTGTTTCTCGTGTCCTCACCACGATATTTGCATGTCTCCTTTTCCCTTTTAGTTCTTTGACAGAATCAAACTGTTTGGCATGCCAGCAAAGCACCAGCCTGATCTGATCTACTTGCGCTACGTGCCGCTGTGGAAGGTCCACATATTCACGCTGGTGCAGCTCACCTGTTTGGTTTTGCTCTGGGTCATCAAGGCTTCTGCAGCAGCTGTGGTCTTTCCCATGATGGTAAGGACTGATGAGGAACTCAAGGACAGAGCTGGAGAAATTGGCACAAGATTTGTAATAGCACAGCTCACTGGTCTCGTTTATTGTTGCATCAAATTAGGACAAGACAATATCTCGAGATTTAAAAAAAAAGTTATATATTTTCATACAAGATGACCCAAAAAAGTTTATACTGATATCAAAGTACAATCAGCTTAACCACATAAAAAGTACGGGGGCCTGCAGTGGCCAGAATACTTCAGAAAGTACCATGAATCTTTCCTTACTTGCTGGTATGAGTGTGAGATTCTAGCCATGTTTGCCTTCACAACTTTAATAACTTTGCACTGCATGACCTACGTTAGCATAATCCGCCACCTAGGATGTCAGAATTCAGCTAAAAAAAAACATCAATTTGTCACGATTAGATTATTTGTATACAATGATTTTTTTCAACACACAAAAAATTATTTTAATCACATAAAATTCACGATTGCTAGGGCGGTTTAGAGTGACTTGTGTCGGTTCGAAACAGCAGGCGTAGCATAGCTCAGATGACTAGAACAACCTTTGACTGGACTTACTCCACTAAACTGACATGCTAGCTTGGTTTGCAGGGCATTTGTGCAATGGTGGAATCATCACAATGTCAGATTATTTAAAAATATTAATATTGTAACAACACTGTTTCACTTTAATTCTCGTTTTCGGGTGGTTTGTGCTTTTTTATTTATTTATTTTTTTGTCTTTACCTCCAGGTTCTGGCACTTGTTTTTATCCGAAAGCTTCTGGATCTTTTTTTTACTAAGAGAGAGTTGAGCTGGCTCGATGACCTGATGCCAGAAAGCAAAAAGAAAACAGAGGATGACAAAAAAATCAAAGCACTTGAAAATCTGGTAGATTTATTATTTTATTTGACCTTTGTGTGTGTGTGTGTGTGTGTGTGTGTGTGTGTGTGTGTGTGTGTGTGTGTGTGTGTGTGTGTGTGTGTGTGTGTGTGTGTGTGTGTGTGTGTGTGTGTGTGTGTGTGTGTGTGTCAAAGCCATGAATTAGAGAACTAAATTATTGAAATTAAAGACCGTTTTGTAGTTTGTAATTAAAATTTTAAATGCTACAAGTTTTTTTTTTTTACTGTAAATGTTAAATTCTTTGAGTTTACGATTTTCTTTTTTCTTTTGAGGCACTAATTTTATTTTTACGTAATAAAAATGAACATTAAATAACATGAATTAGACAGCTTGGGCATTTTTACACCAAGATTATTTCAATAGTTGTGAATTTGAACCATTTTGACTCAGGAGGAAGAGTTAGAGGCGCAGGAGGAAGAGGAGTTGGGACTGAAGGTCCGGTTTGGAGGTTCAACTCGGCTCAGCATCTCAGGAAGGTGAGCGGTGCTTTTTATAAAAGATCAGAATATTAAAATGGTAATTAAGAGACATTAAGTTTGTTTTACGTTAGTCAATCGCACCAAACGCCCGCTCCATTATATGTTATTAGAAGCCTAGGCAATTGTATAATTGATTAAAAATCTTTAAAAGGTGAAGGAAAAAATAACATTTTCACCTTTCTCAAGCACAAATCTGAGCCTAATTTGTTGCTGCAGCTTTTTTTAATTATAAACCAGAGCTGTGAACAGATTTCCTGGAGCATCGGTTGTGTCATTCTGGCCAACTTGAACAGATCTTAGAGGAGCAGGGACCCACAGCCTCCCAGTGGAAGGAGAGGTAGCAGGGCAGATGTTCCTGATGCAAAGCATCCGACCCAAATTAGCTCTGATTACCCAGACTCAGACATTTACCAGGCCTTCCCACTGGACACGTTAGCATGAAATGACCTCTGTGAAGCAGCAATTAGCACTAAATTTCCACTTCGAGTCAATTTCTTATTCGCTAATCTTCCAGAACACGTCAAGCTCAGCAGTTTCACATCGGGCCGGATATGAAGTCAAACACGAGAGTGGCACAGAACATCCTGAAGTTTTCGAAGGAAAAGACGCATGCAGATTTTCTGGTTCTTAACTAGTAAAAAATAATACAACAGTACTTGTGACACCTCCTTAAATGAAGAGAAATAAATAAATAAACGGCAGACCTTTTGGATACATGCTGCCATCTTTCTCTTTGCTCGTTATCTCGTGAACTCCCAAAATCACACGTGATCTTTACATTTCCCTGTGATTTTATTGCCGAACCAGCTATGTAAAATGTTTTTGCTGCTGATTTGTATCTGAAACACTCCGGGTGGGAAGTGATGCACTGCAGATGCCACAGGGGAAACGCGTCTATTACACCCCACGGCTTCCGCCTCTAGTGGAAGGGTTAGGTCGCCGAGTAAAAACCTTACTTTACAACTTTCTGCTTTCATTTCTTTAAGCCAAATATTCAGTGTTGTTGTCTGGCTCACTGTTTCTGCGCGTTCTGTTTTAACAAACAAACCTTTGTTTAAAGTGTCAACTACACTTTCCACATGTTAAGAACGACTGTCCTCGTGATCTGTCTCGTCAGTGGCGTTTCTACTTTAAATTTGTCTCAGTCTCTAACTTAAAAGGGGCATTATGGAAGTTTGACAGCCAAAACATGTGTAGAAATAAGAAATTTCTTCTTCATACATTCTCCTACAATGCCCTGGTCCTGTAGAATGAGCCCTGGCATTTTTACTGTGATTGCCTGTTTTTCTGTAAAATCACAGAAAAAGAGAGCTGCTCGGGTCGAGCAGGCTGCTTCATGCACGTTCACCCTCAGGCATCGCCCGTAGCATTTGCTATCCGTAGCTTTAGCAGCAGAGAGAGAGGTAGTGCCAACTCAGTGACTTAGTCTCTGTTCCTAACACCTAGTGATGAACCTAGCTACATTTCTGAGGACCCTTAGCTACTTTCTTCTAGATATTTCCTGCAAATTAGCAACAAAATAGCCATTTTCGCTCCAAACCGTTCTTTGTTTTGACGTTTCAGGTGTCATCAAGGATATAAAAGTTACAGATACTGTGAATGTTACTGGTGCGTAGCTCACCTTGTAAGATGTCTGACTCCCATGCAGAAGACCTGGGTTTGATTCTGGATGTAAACATAGTTCATTTAGAGTTTCTTTTTTATATTAATATTTTTTTTTTTTACAATAATAAGACACCCAAATTTTTGTTTGAGACTCGCCGAATGGCATTGAATTCACAGATAAAAAAGATGTGGGTTCAACTTTCATTTTGGAACAATTTTTCAAGCAAGGGAAGGGAATGATCTGAGCATGCAGGAGGACTGACCCATCATAAACCTTTGTCGGCTGTGCTGAAGAGAAAGGTACAGAACCTAATTAATTAATTATTTAGCTGCGTGTCCTCTGTCCTCCGGGCCACACACACACACACACACACACACACACGGGACTGTCTCAGATGTTATTTTTGTTAAGGAGTGTGCACGTACAGCATGCGCGCCTCGTGCACGAGCCTACTATTGAAGCTGTCGTTACGCTTTTGGCCTGAGGGGGCAATCACGAGCATAAAAATTCAAAACTCCGTAAAGTCCCTTTAAAGCATGTTCGTGTCTTCTTGTTTGAACTTTTGTGATCATGTCTGTCTTCTCTCAGTGTTCGTCTTGACATTTTTTCTACTTTTTTTTTTTGGCATTCAGTTCTGATTGTGACCCACTGGTTGTAAATATCTCTGATGAAATTGTCCGAACGGAAGCGTGGAAGGCTGTGAACTCGAGTGCACAGCCTTGCGTCCCATCTGAGAAGCGTGGTGAAAGGTAGCTATGCGTCACCTCCTGAGAGCTCCCCAAACACCAACGTGTTCATGACTCTGCAGGATTATTTAAAACATACAAATAAATGATGATTTTAATAATAAACGAGGATACAGTCTTTAGATTTGGATCTTTCTTTTTATCTTTAGACTGATAATGTGTTTACAGTGATATATTGAAAAAAGGGCTTGAAATGTACAAGAAAACTTTATTTAGAGGTCCAAGAAATTTTTCAGTCATGAACATTTAGCTGACAAAAAGATACAGTAAACAGCTGGAATTGTGGGAAGGCCTAATATGTGATTTGGTGAAGCCTACCAGCTAAATAATTAAGAAACATGTTGAAAAAAACAATTGCACTGAACAATTTGGTCACATCAAATATTTATGTTGTAAATGTGCAGTTTTCACATTTAATTTGACAGACTTTTGAAGTAGTCCATGTCCTGATTTAGTGGGTCCCAGACTTTTCTCCCGGCATTTGCATAGTAGTTGCACTCGTTTTGACCGTTTGCTAATTTATGTATGTAAAGACCTCCCCAAACCTTCTGAAATCTATATTACGATTGGGACACCTCTCCATACACACGAGTGTTACAATAGGCCTACTCCACACTGAACCCTACGGATTAAGGCTGGGATAAATAAATGCAGACACTAATACTTTTGGAAACACCTCCTTTATTTGGGAACCACGGGGATGCGACTGTCAAGGGAGTTTCCAAAGTGTCTCCAAATGTTTGGGGAGGTTTTCAATTTCATTGCAATTCCTCAAGTTGTTTTCTGCAATTTTTCCAACTAACAGGACCTCACTGATAAATTGTTTGAATGTTGAACAAAAACCTGGCCAGCTATTTCCTCAAAATGTGAACAAGAGTTCTTCTTAAACGCTTCTTAGTTTTTGCAAATCTTAGGTGTAAGAAGACAACTTTAGGAGGGGCTGAATTCACCTGGTAGATAAAATTAGAGCATATTCAGGAAATTGTACTTTTTTTTCAGGAAAAATTGAAACATTTTGATTTAACTGTAAAAGATTTGTACAACAAACTGTTTGCAATTACATCAAATGCTTTACGTGACCACATCCTTTTTAAAATTTGCCACAAAAACATCAAAATCAAGGTGATTTTCAACTGAAATTTTGTAAATTGCCTTTTCATTTGGTCTCCAAATTGCAGTTAGTATCTAGTTTAGATTTAGATTTAAGTTGTACTCCCTTTCAACTAATGGACCTTTTCCACCTCCAAACATGGCTCAACTCTGCTCTACACGGTTCGGGTGGTTTTCTATTACAACAGAGAAACTGCTCTAGTGAGTGGGCTTGCCACAACGAGGTGGACTCCAGAGTTTGAAAAGTGGCACAAAGTGGTCTGTACACGAGACACAAACACAATACAACAATGGAAGGCATGGTAGTGATGTAGAACATTCAGAATGTACCTACTGGAACATTCCCTTCACTTGGTGTTTTTTTTTTGTCAGACTCCAAAAAGAAGAGACCCGCAAAAGTCAGTGGGCAGTGAGCCAATCAGTGACCAGCCTCTTTAATGTTGCGTTTTCAGCTTGGCTCGGTTCGCCTGGAATCGCTTTAAAGTAGGGACTAAACACCTGGTACTCGTTACTAGTGGAAACACTTTGGAACTGAACCAAACCAAGTTGAGCCAGGCTGAGTAGGTACTAAAGCTGGGTGACTTATCGAATTTTTCAAAGCAATATTCATTAGTCCAAAGAAAGAAGATGGGACATTTAGACGTTTTATGGGCCTAACACACATCCCAAATAGTGATCCACCTAGCACAATCTTTCGTACTCAGTTTGCGGAAAGGGTACTCATGCTTCATTCTTTTCCTAACATCATTGGCTATTAGATGTGTCAATCGACAACTTAATAGGCCACAACTTGTTTGAGCTACAAGTGAGAAGAGATGGCTGTATTTGTGACCTACGGCCTTGGTGAAAGGTGTTCCGGCAGAGGAGGTAATCCTTCACCTGATCAAAAGGGCTCTCTTCTATCAACGACATAAGGCTTCGAATGGTTAGTTAGACATTATTATGAATTTCCAAGTGGTTTGACATAAGCCTATATCGTGTTTACAGATATGCTTGTATCCTTTATATCCATACATAAATGGAATACGACAATCCTTGCTTTCTAATGATGCATTTATATATACATAGTATTGATGGGTACCTTTGACATTTGAATCGATCCGTTACTAATTCCCGGTACCTACGAATCGATACCGGTACTTAACGGTACCAGTTTTCGATACTTTTGAGTGTTTATTATTTTAATTCTCTTTTATAATTAAATATATATTTTTCTCAATATATAACAATATTTGATAAATATCACGATAAATAACATTCAACTGTTTGTATTAACATCGTCCTTGTAGTTTTATAAGCTGATAATTAAACTGAAGCAAACATCTTTACTGTGAACTAAATTTACTGTGTATCTTCATTCCTTTTGCCGTCTTTTTTCATTTGATTTTTCCTACTGGGAAGTTAGAATTTCCGAGGAGAAAGCGAACACACCATTAGCTGATAACAATGGTAGCAATGAAAGCTAACATACCAAGCTAACGTTATCTTAAACAGTTTATTTAGCTGCTGGAGCAGATTAAAACGATGATGCCTCACACTTAGATCGTTGTCACTGGTTTCATCTTCACCCAATCACCCGTCGCATTTAGTAAAGTGAAGCCAAACTTTAGAGCGCGTTCATGTTCTTCTAGTCGGGAATTTCTGAGTTCCGAGGAGAAAGCAAACGCACCATTAGCGAAACGGAAGCTAACATATCAAGCTAATTATTTACCTACCGGAGCAGATTAAGATGAGGATGTCTCACTTAGATCGTTGTCGCTGGTTTCATCATCACCCAGTTACCCATCACATTTAGTGAAGTGGACCCAAGCTTTAGCCTGCGTTCTTTCTACCTTGCTGCTCTGTTTACAACTGGCTCGCAGCGACTGACGACATAACGCTCTTGCACATGTGCAGCTGTCTTGGCAAGTTCTCGTTATGATGGACGGGTACCAAAACGAGGCACCGTTTGAAATTACGTGAATCGGTGCTCGGTCGGTACTATGGAATTCGGGCGGTACCTTAAAAAGTACCGAATTCGGTACCCATCCATAGTACATAGAATAAATGTTAAAACAATATCCCTCGTAAAAAGACAAACTGCTAAAAATTTGGACTATCACCATTCGCTGATAAATTTGCTCAATCGCCCAACCTTAGTAGGGCCTGGTGGAAAAGGTCCATTATAGGATCAGTAAAGTCACCTTGGTGACACAAACAAAACTGCTCCAACTCATCTTTCTTTATCTCTGCACAGCCAAGAGAAGGTGGCGTGCGTTAGAGTTGACGTGAGCCCAGACACACCAGGAGACGGCTCTGCCACAGAGACCTTCCTGTGACGAAGGAAGAGCCCAATCTTCTCCCTTGGACCTTCACAACAATTCCTCACTGAGCCGGTGCTTGTCAGGAGGGCAAAGAGGAACGGAAGCGGCACGATCTGTCTGCAAAACTCCCTTCTCCTTTCACGGGGTGCCGACGAGCTCCCACAAAAACACAATTCCAGCTCTTCCAGTAACACTCCAGTCTGGAAGTCCTACATGTTGATTACCAAGATGCACTACATATCACACATCCTCACAGATGGAAGGAAATACTCAACACTTTCTGTTTTGGAGTACTCTTAATTTAGCTTTTTTTTTGCCTCCTGCTTTGATGTCACAGGAATGGCCTCTCTTATAGGGTCTAAGAATTGAACCCTAATTTCAGCCATTTTTTTTTTACTTTTACTGTTATTGTTGAGATAATCTCAAGTTGTTGTTGGCTGAACACTTTTATTAAGTTAAACCAGCTTGAAATGTTGTTTCATAAAAGCCATTAAAGTGCTTTTTGTGTTTATTATGAAGATGGTTTTGCACAGAGAGTGATGCAAACCAAATCAGAGGGGTGTTCAGAACATGACTGCAACACATCGCCACTGCAATACGTCCTGGATTCAGACCCAAGTCTTCTCTCTCCAGGATATTTAGTGTTAATATCGCTGCTTGGACATTGTTTCACTGTTCAACACACATCGTGTTTGTTATTTCTTAAAGTAATCTATACTGTACTGTTTTCATTTGTACTGTGATAGAAAAAGTCACGTTAGAGGCCATATAAAGTCTGTACTGTACAGTGAGCACTTTGCTAGGAAAGGTGAAAAATAGATTCTATTGAATTATTGAAATGATCAATTCCCACAGTATCCTCTCCAGATGTTGTTCGAAAGCAATTCAAGATTGATTTCCAACAGCAACCGATGATAAACTATTTTAATAAAGAAACAAAAGTGTAAAATAAGAGAATATTTGTGATCCCAGTTAGATGCACTTGTTTTTATACTGTCTGTATTCCTGTGAATATTATTGTGTTTGTCGTACAAAGATGTCTAGAGTTACGGATACCTTTATGCAAAATGTTTCCACTGAATATGTTCAAAAAGCTATTAGAAAAAAACCTCACTCTGTATTTTCTTCCAAAGGCAGTCATGCTTTAGCAATAACTATTCCAACAAGGTTCAATGTTTGGACTCCTTCAAGAATGATTTGTGTTTGTGCGTTTCATCAGCTGTGTGTAGCGATCCTACCAACAATAGCTTATGTGCCTTGTTGAAGCTCTTTATGTGCGAGTGTTGTGCTGATTATCCCCAACGTTCCACATGATGGCACACAGACTCCAAAGACGGGCCATCCGTTGCACAGTTTATTTGTTGTTGTGTCGTTCTGACGTCTGTGTGAATGTCTAGTTTCCAATTTCAGAACATAACTACAAGCTGTTTTTATGCGTGTGTGTATGTGTGTGTTCTGCTGTAGTATTTGCTCCCCACTAAAACATGCAAACATGAAAAGATCTTAATAACACAGAGGTACAGTTTCCTATTTAAACCATCAGTGAATGTTAAATTATTGTGGTGTCAATGTAAAATGAAAACATTTATTTATTTTGCCAAAAAGAAAGAAAGGTATTACGCTTCACTCGTGGTTCATTCTGACCAAAGTGAATATTTATCCATAGTGTTTGCATTTTCTGATTTTGTCTTATTAGATACCCTATTTTCATGGGATCACACTTGAATTGGAGTTCTTTAAATTTAAATCAAAAGAATCAGCTACAAAAAGAAGCAATATTTAAAGCTTCAGAATCAGCAAACAAAAGGTATTTCTACTAACGCACGAACCGTTGGTGAAGAACTTTGCATTCTGTTGTTTGGTTGATGACTTCTGTCATTTCAGATTGTTGCAAAGCAATAAAATGGAACATATTCTGATTTTACTGTCCTTTTTAAATCTTCGAATCATGAGTCGTTTTTCCACTATAGGAGTTCCAGGAAATAACTGGGAGCTACAATGGATCGGTTTGCGAAGATGTCAGCTTATCGCGACTGCTACCATCCAAACGGTGACACGTGGATACAGGTCGGGCACTAGAAGTGACATGTCAGTCGAGAACAAAATGGCTTTTAGAGCCAGCTCTTTGAAGTGACCGATCACAGATGGTTCCTTCTTGGAGGAGCCAGCTGTGATCTACACCGACTGCACCAACTATATATATATATATATATATATATATATATATATATATATATATATATATATATATACATATATATAATGAAATTAGTACTAATCAGATCCTCAGGTGAAATTAAAAACGAAATTACCATCAAGTACTGTAATTTTGTTGTCCTAAAATAAAAAGGTACCAGAAGGTGGCAGCAGAGAGCTGCATCTACCTGTGGCTGATAGATCCCGCCCATCAGTGGACTTTTACAGATCAGTATTCCGTTTACAGTTTTGTGTAATTTCTGGTGATAAGTTGAGAAACAAGAAATGTGAGGAGCCGTTTGAGAGATGAAAGCCAGTTCTCTTGATTTATTAGAAATTATTGTATTTTTCTAAAATTTTCAACATAGTGCTTCAAACATAACCAAAACAGCAGCCAGATCATGAGCATTTTTCCCAAATGGACAAAATAAATTATTCATAATAATGCAGGAAGTTATGAAAGAAGCCCAAACAGAATCTCTACTTCTTTTTCAGTGTTTTCAGACATTTTTTGTAGCAATAAAAACTGCAGCTAGCGTCTTACGTGCTATTGATTTCATCATGCGGTTCATATTTTGGCTTGCATTAAGTTAGAATTTTTTCTGTTTTAATTTAAAGTTTAAGAATATGCTAAATGAAAAAATAAAAGAACTTATCAGATTCTCAGATTTCAAAAAAAGAAATTACCATTAAGTCAGTTTTATCAAAAAAAAGAACCAGCAGGTGGCAGCATAGAGCTACATCTACCTACAGCAGACAGATCCCACCCATCAGTTGTTTATGTTGATCTTATTCAGGCAAAAGCTAAAGCCAAACACTTTAAAACACACAAGACACCATTTCACTTGACGTTGTTTTAATAAACATGAATATAATTCTTATTTCACAGACATGTTAGTGTGGCCGCAGTCATTTCTGACAACCTAAGGTGTGTACTGTTAGACTTAAATGAACTCTGCATTTTGGCAGTGCATATTTTACCAAGAACATGTTTTATTTCTCCACAATAAAAAAAACTGCTCTTTAAATGCCGCCGTGTCTGTATTTTATCCTGTAATTCCTCTCAGTCACCTCCTCAAGACGACCCAAACCTCGATCACTTTCAGAACCTTTCAGACCAAACTCTTCATGTGATTTCAAACATAAGTGCAACGATTCATTATTCACAGAAGCTAATACTTTATACTAAAGTGGCCTTTTCATAAAGTGTCTCATGTTATTTTAACCACTACAACCAAAGTTTGTTTAAATAAAAACAAAACTATTCCAACAGCCGTCAAATCGTAGTAGAGCAGTTACATTTGTCCTCTTTAAATCTCAGCACATAGCCAGTAAAGCAACGTTTCGGTCACTGGACACTTAGAAACCTTTGTTTTTATGTTTTTTCCCCAGTTAGACGTGACTGGTTTTTTGTGTTTTGGCTCAAAACGCAGAGAACCGGTAAAAAGGAAGGGTCTTCTTCTTAAAAACTAAAGCTGCTCCGCTGGAGCTCAGTTAGCGACGTTCTGCGGTCCTTCTGGGATGAGCGACATGAAGAATGTTATGATAAAAGACCACGTGGAAGACAGGAAGCCTGCATTAGGGGTGCTGTTGGGATCTTCTGCGCCTTCCTCTCCACTTTCTCCTCCATCATCATCATCATCATCTTCATCTGAGCCGTCATCGTTCACTCCGTCCTGCACAGGGAAGTAAAATCAAAGATATGAGTTCAAAGCCTGAGGTTTGTTGGTAATTAGGTAGTAATATTGCATGTTTGCTGTCATGGATGAGAGGTGTTCACCATTTCTTGTGCGTCTTGGTTCTGTTGGTCTCCATCCACATCCTCCTGATTGGGAAGGTCTCCTGGAAGCTGCAGGTCGTTCTCCAGGTTGAAGGGAAACCAGCCGGTCTGGTGTCTGCAGACACAAACTATTTAAAAACACCTCTGGTTGGTGTAAAGATGGACGCGTGGACCACTCACAGGTAGAGCAGCAGCATGGCCACCGTCACCATGACGAAGCGGCTGAAGGACGAGTAGAAGTAGACTATACTGAGTAGGATGGCCAACCGAGAAAACGTGTACACCCAGTCCAGCCAGTCCCTGTTCAGCTCCTCCTCATTCAGGATCTCCCCTCCCTGGGCGTTCATTTGGACCTCCGGGTTGCCGTGGCGACCCACCTGAGGTTGCCGGCTCTGAGGATCTGTCTGACTGGACTGAGTCGAAGGCTGATCGGGTCTGAAGTGCTGGGAGGAGGCGGCCAACAGCTGACTGGAAGAGCGGAAATTGAAAAGGTCCGTTTTTGTGTTGGTGCAATAAAGTTTGGTTTGTAGAGCCTTACTAGTGCATGTAGTACTGCCTGACGTAGAGCTGCTGCCACCACATTAGTGTCAAAGGGTTGTAATAGGCAGGTAGGTGTGTCGGGGGGGTATTCAGCGGGTACTGGCTCCAGCTGGGGAATTGAGCAAAGAAACGCCAAAAACAACACACACACACACACACACACACACACACACAGAGAGAGAGAGGAGAAACACCATCACTCAAGGAAAACGCTCTGGAACAAGACCCTGAATCATCTTGTAGGAGCAGATTTAGTGATTAAGAGGAAACTGGAAGTGGACTTGCCTAACTTTGTGTAAAGTGGTGAAGAATAATAAATCTACGGAAGATCAGATTAGAGCCACTGAAAAAAAATAAGAAAATTAAATCCGACTTCTGGGAATAAAGTCAAAATTCTGAGATTACAATGCTGGTGGTGGTCGGAGGGACCGGTGGCGCCAGTGCTCGGCAGCCTCGCCTCTGTCAGTGCGCCCCAGAGCAGCTGTGGCTACATTGTAGCTCATCACCATCAGTGGGTAAGAATGGGTGAATGACTGATTGTGTTGTAAAGCGCCTTGGGGGGTTCCAGGACTCTAGAAGGCGCTATATCAAAGACAGGTCATTTACCATTAAAGTCAGACCTCTGAAAAAGCCTAAACTGTGAGAAAACTATCAAAAATAATGAAATTAACTCATTCGCTGCCAGCGTTTCTCACCATTTTTACTGGTTTTTTTAAGAGTCACAGAACGTTGCGCGCTAGGATGATGTCGACACCAAAACAACCAAAACTAAGCGGAGACTCACCTCTTACATCAGGAAGAATCCGCGCGTTTCGAGCGTTATTCGTTCTTTATTTATTCTTTCATAATCCGTTGTTGAATTGTGATCGGCAGAAGCTTTTCAGGTTCGCGCCTCACTTTTTTTTACAGCAGCGGCCCAAAACGATCTCCTAACACATGGATTTTCTGCTTCCTGATCGCGTGACGTACGCGGATGAAGATCGGCTTCAGAGCTGGGATGTTTGTTTGTCACGGTGTGGGGGCTCCTTCCGACGCCCACACAGTAAAAAAAAAATGCAAATGACGACTCTAGTCGTCAATGGCAATGAATGAGTTAAAGTCAAAATATTGAGATTCAAATAATTATTCTGAGGAAACATTAAAGTTCTGAGATTAAAGTCAGAACTCGGGAAAATGTCTCATTTCTGCGATTCAAGTGCAGATATGTAATAACAATTAAAGCTGTTATAGCAAATCTACACAACAAGCTAGGTTTTGAACGCAAACACGATCATGAAGCACACCCCTCCCCTCAGACATCTTCCTTGAGACGCTTCTGCCGGAACCGGAAACCCGTGTTGCCAGAGGAAACGAGATAGCTCTAAACACCCATCGCTGTTTTCTAGGTCCCAACTTCTTTTGTTGTCCGTTACTTTAAAATGACTTTACGGAGTTTTGAATTTTTATGCTCGCGACTGCGCCCTCAGGCCAAAAGCGTAACGGCAGCTTCAATAGTAGGTTCGTGCACGAGGCGCGCATGCTGTACGTGCACACTCCTTAACGAAAATAACAGCTGAGACAGTCCCGTGCGTGCGTGTGTGTTTGTGTGTGTGTGTGGGGGGGGGGGGGGGGGGGACAGAGGACAGGAGAACGTGCAGCTAATTAATTAAATAATTTGGTTCTGTACCTTTCTCTTCAGCACAGCCGACAAAGGTTTAAGATGGGTCAGTCCTCCTGCATGTTCAGATCATTCCCTTCCCTTGCTTGAAAAATTGTTCCAAAATGAAAGTTGAACCCACATCTTTTTTATCTGTGAATTCAATGCCGTTCGGCGAGTCTCAAATAAAAATTTGGGCATCTTACTGTAAAAAAATATACCATTAATGTAAAAAATAAACTCTAAATAAACTATGTTCACATCAAGAATCGAACCCGGGTCTTCCGCACGGGAGTCCGCCGTCTTACTGGGTGAGCTATAACACCAGTGATGTCTTTTGTATCTGTAACATTTATATCCTTGATGACAGCTGAAACAACGTTCAAAGGACGGTTCGGAGCGAAAATGGCTATTTTGTTGCTAATTTGCAGGAAATATCTAGAAGAAAGTAGCTAAGGTCCTCAGAAATGTAGCTAGGTTCATCACTAGGCGTTAGGAACAGCGACAAAGTCGCTGAGTTGGCACTACCTCTCTCTCTGCTGCTAAAGCTACGGATAGCAAATGCTATGGGCTATGCCTGAGTGTGAACACGCATGAAGCAGCCTGCTCGACCCGAGCAGCTCTCTTTTTCTGTGATTTTACAGAAAAACAGGCAATCACAGTAAAAATGCCAGGGCTCATTCTACAGGACCAGGGCATTGCAGGAGAATGTATGAAGAAGACATTTATTATTTCTATACATGTTTTGGCTGTCAAACTTCCATAATGCCCCTTTAAACAGTGCTTTTCTTTTTTGGACTGGTAGTTTGTCCTAAAGTTGAAGTGGTAGCAGTCAGCTGCTCCTCCTTCTCTGATTATACGGAGCGGAGAACCTCTCACACCAGCGGGGATCTGCTGCTAAATACGTGAGTGCTTAACGAACGGACCCAGGGAAGTGCAGCGATTCTGCGAGACCGACAGCCAGATGGTGCAATAGTTGCTTTGGTCTGAAACGTGTTATTGGTAGAAGCTTTTAGACAAAAGTGAGAGAACACTTTGATTTTTTGGGAATTTCCTTAATATATTTATAGCTTTACCAGGTTAGAACATTGTTAAGAGACATGAACGAAAAGGTTTTAAGCTAATTTGTTCTCCAAAATTGCCATCGCAGCTTTTAAACAATTGTAATTTGATGCGCAAGGCATGAATCCATGAAAAGCGGGTAGAAATGTTTACGTTTTACTGCTCTCTACTCCTTTTCGGACTATGTTATTTGTTTTCCCGCTTTATTGATATTTAGAGTTCTTGTGGTTGGTTCTAAATGGAAACAAACAAACTTGGAGTTCTGACATTTTTCTCAGAATTCAGATTAAAGTCGGAATTGGTTTTCCTTTTTAATCCTCTCCTGTAGGAATCAGCTCTTTAAAGTGACGCCAAATGGAATCTGACCTTAAGAACAAGTTAAGTTTGTGTATTGAGTCATCTCACATCAAACACTGACCTCTGTATAAACTGTGGATACATCTGGTGATAAGGAAGAGCTCCAGCTTGCTGTCTCATCCCATCACCGCCCGCCCCTGAGGACATCGGGCCATCCTGACTATTAGAATGTGGCGGAGCCTGTTGCCAAAACAAAACAAACAACGACAACAACAAAAAAAGATGGAGGGTGTTAGCAACAGTAGTGAAATAATAACCCGCGACACGTCGAGGAGGTGTGGGATACGACGGTGCTGCTGGGTGATGAAAGGAAATGGGATTCTGATGAAATGAGTCGAAAGTTGCACAGAAGCGTGCTGCAGACCCACCGTGGGACTGGCTGCGCTCTCCTGAGGCTTGTTACCGCGACATCGAGGCGGCTTCGGGGAGCTGGGGGGGGTCCGGGAGGCACACACCAGATGGAGCATATGGTACTCGTCCTGCTGTGGAGACCAGCACAGCGCAATTACCTCACCCAGTCCAAGGATTGCATCGTCTTCAGGACTTTGTTGTCCCACCAATACAAAAAAGCACTTCTCTATAAACAAACCTTTATTATGAAGAGTTTTCAAAACAAAACTGATGTTTTTTCATCTTTGTTGAAGCTCAGACATAATCAGTTCATTAAGCCACCTGAAGCTCTTCTAAGTTTCTTCTACTCGTGGGTGGAGAGGTGGAAAACGTGTGTGGTAAACACACACTTTAGGTGAGACTAATCTCAGGTACATGTAGTTATATCTGGACAGTCACTACCTGCAAAAAGCATCCCTCAAATGTTCTACTGCACAACAAAAATGTTCTAAAATGATTCATTGGTGCCTGACCTTCAATGACGGTTTAAATTCTTACAAACGTCCAGAAATGCATGAAATAACTAGTTTGAAACAACTTTGACTCGTGGTGATGCTTTTGGAAAACAAACTGTTAAATAAACTCTTTGCTCACATGAATTGAAAGCACTTTTCAAGATGAGCTTAACTGTTGTGGCATGTCTCCATAGCAGTATTACACTATAACCTATTTCAGGTATGATTACAAACTCTTCTAAAGCTGGGGGCCGTGGTGTGACGTCATCGAGGAGAAGAAGATTTTGAAATTTGAACGGCTATAGATACGTCTAAAACCAACACAAATCCAGCAATCGTGATGCTAGCACAGCCCGCTAACACTAAAACTGGCTAAAATCCCTTTTTGTTCCCCTCCCTCCTCTTCCACAGTTAGCTTGAAGCTAACTGACCGACATTAACCCTTAAGGACTTAAGCCCTTTTGAAAGAAAAAAACTGATTGGAATAAATACATTAAAATGTAGAAAAACATAAATTAAAATTAAGAAATCAAATAATTTTCAATATATGTATGTATAGGATGTCACTTAGAGTTGTCAAACATGAATATATGACTCCAGAAGCAAATTTGCAGATGTTTGAAATGGGATGTGACACCAGTCAACGCAGGTCAGGTTAGCATTCAAGCTAGATTGGTGTGCTAAGCTAACTATGAGTCAGTGGCAAATGGGGCACATTCTTGTTGATCGACAGCTCCCTCTTGCAGGTACACACTTCTATTTACCAACACGCTCGGTTCCTGATTCGTTGAGCTGTAGAGGCCGGGGGAGGGGCTTAGTGGAAATATAAACAAAACTCTGAAAATGTTAGCGTTCAATCATTTTAAAAGATTTTGATTAAGAACCCCGATGAAAGGGGTAGCATTTCTTGAAGGATCACACTTGGCCTGCAGTCATGCGAGAGTAAGATCTTATGTGGTGTATCAGCACTCTGAATCTGTACATTTCACTGTGTTGTAGCTCTAGCAGGTCAATGTCATGTGATTTTCACCCCCACGGCAGAAGGACTAGCTTCCAAAGCCTTTTGTGTGACCACACAGCAAAATTTCCTTCTGCTCAACTACTAGTAAGTCATGAAGATTCAAGTTTTATCTGAGTTTTATCGACATTTTTCCCTCAGTAGTTGAGATTCTGTGCAGATAATTCAAGTCAAAGCTAAAAGCTTTCTTCAGACGGGTGGAACTGTGTTAATATTTACACGTTTCTCTAAAATCTTAAACAATTTCATAAAAGTTTGTCTTTTTCCCTGATCAAAACTTACCTTCCGGAGCACATCTTTTAAGGTGAAGTGATCCAAAAGCAGTTTTCCAGAATACACCAGCCTCTGGTCTTTAGAGCTCTACAAACACAGCATGATGACAATAAAGTCACACAACAGAAATGACGTATAGCCTATAAAACTCAGCATCAAAGGGCAGCTAACTTGTGTAAGTAAGGAGGATGAGATTGTAGTAACCTCAATCAGGATAAGTGGGTCTTAATGGATTTAGTACAAGGTCAGCGTGTGTCCTCATTGAGCCTGCTTTCACTCTACTCCCATTCACATTTCTGTTTCCACCTCCACGGCGCTCGTTGTTAAATATATCTCAGTTAATCGTAAACGGCACAAACAAAAGTGCAACTACCAGTGAGATAACACTCTCGCTCTACAAGGTAGCAGTTTGTACCAGAGGAGCAGAACGTAAAGAGAGCAAAATCAGATTAGAGGCACGATAAGAGGAATGGAAATTGCCTGTCGGGGATGTCTTTTCAGTAAAAACCTCATTTATTTTCACTGATTAGATGAAACAGCTCCGTCTATACGTGGATTTTTTTCCCCCCCAAAGCGATAAAATCGAGAGGGAAGTGAATCGGAATTAACACACAGAAATCAAGAAAAGAAAACTGGCGATGGTTATGTAAGTTTTAGTCTAAATTACCTGAAAAGCCAACGTCTTCCTCATCAGTTCTGACAGCATGTACACAACTCACTGAGTTTGAACTTTACAGATATCAAAAGGATGCCAACAGATATTTGGGACAATCGCAGGCGACTCGGCTGATTACAAACGTGTTTACATAATCAGATCTTCCTGAAACCGAACAAAACTAAAGCTTTGCTACTTACAGGTTTACTGGGGTACACGTCAGACAGGTGGGCTTTGAGTTTCTCTACAGTCCAGTTCTGGTAACAGTTGATTGTCTGGTCATTGTATTTTTGGTTGGGAGCCCTGATGACGAGGATGACAGGATTGTCCACAACACCTTGGTCCATGACGCTCACACATTTGCCTTCGATAAACTACGAGGTGTGATCTGGAGCAGACTTTCGGTGAAATGTTTCCAATCCGAACGGTTCTAGAGCTTCTCTGGTAGCATCAGGAGGAGAAAGACAACAGGAAACTGTCGGATAAAAGAAAAAAACTAAGTTAAAAAAATCCAGTGATACAGAATGTAACCTGAAACGATCTGTCAATTGTTTTTGTCATTTTAGCACATTCCGACATTAAGCGATTACTTTCACTGTCAACTGAATAACCGTAACGTAATACATTTAACATAAAGACACGTTTTATCTATATAAATATGTTCGGTATAAAATAATGTCCTGTAAAAAAATAATAATACAGGATCGGTTTAAAGGGATCTTTAAACGCTTTTGCTAACGCTAGCTTGTACACATTCCTCTTTAACCTCAATAAAACGCACTGGATGAATTCTCCACCGAACACGGATAACTGTCCGAGTTGGTTTAAACAACCTCTTGTTGATGTTAGTTTAAAAAGACTCCTGCCTGATTATCCTACCTTGTTTATCCCGTGTGTTGAAACGCTAGTAACTCAAAGCCCTGCCTCGGCTGCCTGGAGTTCTTCTTCTTGAGTTTTTTTAAAGGTTGTAACAACGAGTTGTTGTGCTACTGCCGCCGAGTGGTTTGGTGGTGAGAGTGCCTGGTTTAACTGGGTTTAACACAAGAAACATAATAGAAAATCTTTCAAGATTATAATCGATTAGGTAGGCCATTCGATTACGGTAGGTTAGATTTGTGTAACCTTTTTGATGGAAAAGATGGAGATTGTGTGTATTGGGAAATGAGCTATTATTACTGCCACCTAGCGCCAATAAGGTTTATTATACTGTATTTGACACTGGTGGAAAAATGAATTTGCAGAAGTAAATATTTATATTTTTAATTTTTACAAGATAACTGATTACTTAACTGTTCTTTCTCCCGGTGCAGTTGGCTCCTTTGGTGGCGTTTTTATCTTCTTTGTACCTACTACATCTGCACTCAGCCAGCTGCCCGTTCTCTGTTACGTACGTACGTGCGTGCGTGCGTGCGTGTGCGTGTGTGTGCGTGTGCGTGTGCGTGCGCGTGCGTGTGCGTGTGCGTGTGCGTGTGTGTGTGTGTGTGTGTGTGTGTGTGTGTCTTGGGACGGGATTGAGGGTGGGAGGAGGGAGAAACAAAGGGGATCGCTTATGTGAATCTGTGTGGGAGGGGTGGGAAACCGCCTGCTGTCTGGTTGTTTTTAATATTGTAAAGCGCTTTGAGCTGCATTTGTATGAAAAGCGCTTCATAAATAAATTTTGATTTTTTTTAATTTTATTTAGAAATACACCGTTTTGGTGTAACCAAAAATTGTCATTGACATTTTTATAAAGGAAGATTTTCATTAAATGTGAAATGATAATTTCTTTACAACCGATATTTCTTTGCACGACTAAAACAACGAAGCAATATAGATGATATGGAGAATTGGGGAATTATAGCTGACTATTCAATTGTGCCTTAAAATATACAAAATAAAATGCAAAAAATATAACCACCGACTACACCATCAATAAAGTGATCAACAAATTAGAAATGTTTCACTCCTCACAGGTGGATGCAAAAATAAAACCAAGAGTTTTCAAATGAAATGAAATGAACAAACAACTAAAATCAAATTAAGCACAGAATACTGCAATTAAATCTGAATATTCTGGAGCAAAATGTCTTTTCTGGGCATAAGACATTCAGTACACAAAAATAGAATTAAACAAACTCTCATTTTCTATCTTACTCATTTGATTTTAAATGTGTGTGCATCCGTTTGTAATTAGCACTGATGAGTTAAAGATTATAATTGTCCAGAAAAACATACAGAATACTGAAATAAACACAAACAAAGTAATGTTTGCTGATGATGGTGCACTGGTACAATTAAAGCATTCCGTTTTGCTATCTAGTCATAAAGCTGACAGAGCAGGAATTTGAGATAGCAAGAATCAAAGTGAGTCAGCAAATGTAAGAAAGGTCAAGGTGATCAAACTCCTCAAATAAAAGCACATCACATACAAAGGTCTGAGCTGACTCATTCAGATCACAGCGCACTTCCAACCTCCTTTGTGGTTCTCATGCTGTTCGCTGGGGCTTTAGAACATCATTTCCTGATCAGATGAGAGCCAAAGTGCCACCCTCAGTGGGATAGAAGGCTTCCATATCCTGTCACGGCTTTTACAGCAGGTAGCAACTTGTGTATTACACTTCATTACAACATTTCCAGGACCAGAGTGACTAACTCTGAAAAAGTCTGTGGCAGCTTTACCACATTATGTCTTTGAGCACCAGAATCACTCCTTGACCCACCTTTATTTGAGGTGCTCCATTTTCTTCACACAGAAAGAAGCTGCTCCAGTTTCCTCACATCACAGACTACAGAGCCACAGTGTCAGGTGCAAAAATGAATAAATATGGTTTGATTAATTCAGTTTGCTAGTTTTTGCCATGTAGGTTGTGCGTAAAGGGTTTCACTGTCAGGATTTGATGTGGTAGGATGTGTAGGACCCAAAATGCAGAAAAACCAGATGAACCAAGCAGGAGGTAGATGATGAAAATAAATCCTTTATTTAGGAGTAGTCCACAGGCAGGGAGCCAAAACCCAAAAAACTAATAACTGAGCAATAAAAACACTAGAGGACTAGAGACACTGGAACACTGGCTGCTAGGAACAGGAACGAGACTGACAAGAACAACAAGCAAACATTAATGGACCAACAAGAACACAGAGACAGACAGGGCTTAAATACACTGGGAGGAGCAATCAGGGAAACAGGAAGCAGGTGTGTGGGGTGAGCTGCTGGAGGGAAGGCAGGTGACACTAATCAACTCAATGGGGAAAACAGAAACAGGATGTCAAATACCTTAACACAAAACTAAACAACAATTTCCTAAAGACAGAGGGAAGGACTCACACTAACTAGCTGGAGGAGGACATAGTACATACACACACTGAGCTGGGGACAACGAGGCTGGAGCTGACCTGGGAGGAAATAGTGAAAAAGATATCAGACACTAAACTGACACACAGAAAAAGGACACAAGAGGGCGCCAAAGGGCTACAACAAGACACATAACAGGGATGCAGACAAGGACACATGAGGGCGCTAAGAGAGCACAAGGGGAGAACCTGGAGTGGAGCACAAGAGGAGCTGGGGAACAAAGGGACACAAGAGGGACTCTAGAGAGGGATGGAGGACACCAGGAGGCACATAAAGGAAGGGGGCTGACACAGACCATGACAGTACCCCCACCCCCCCACCCCCAAAGGGCGGATCCCAGACGCCCACAGGAACCAGGAGCAGGGCGGGAGGAGGGGGACCCGGAGGGAGGGCCCAGAGGAACAGAGGGACCACAGGAGAGGCGGCAGGGATCAGCAGAGTCAGGAGGCCTGCCCCTGCGGCAGATGAGGAGGCGACGGGCCCTGGGAGGCCGGCGCCTGGGGCAGATGAGGAGACGAGGACGGACCCTTGGGGGCCTGCGCCTGAGGCAGAAGAGGAGGCGACGGGCCCTGGGAGGGCGGCGCCTGCGGTAGAGGAGCCCTGCAGGCCAGACTGGTGACAAAGTTCCTGCAGGCTGGGCCGGAGCAGCCTTCAAAACCACCATCAGAACCGGAGATGTTGGACTGGATGGAGCGTCGACCTCTTGAGTGGAGAGAGCATCCTCAGGAGAGGCCACGTCGACGTGGGAGCCGACATCAGGGGAGGCCACGTCGACGTGGGAGCCGACATCAGGGGAGGCCACGTCGACGTGGGAGCCGACATCAGGGGAGGCCACGTCGACGTGGGAGCCGACATCAGGGGAGGCCACGTCGACGTGGGAGCCGACATCAGGGGAGGCCACGTCGACGTGGGAGCCGACATCAGAGGAGGCCACGTCGACGTGGGAGCCGACATCAGAGGAGGCCACGTCGACGTGGGAGCCGACATCAGAGGAGGCCACGTCGACTTGGGAGCCGACATCAGAGGAGGCCACGTCGACTTGGGAGCCGACATCAGAGGAGGCCACGTCGACTTGGGAGCCGACATCAGAGGAGGCCACGTCGACTTGGGAGCCGACATCAGAGGCGTCGACCTCTGTCCCGGGTGCGTCGGCTTCGGAGCTCGAGCCGGGTGACGTTGACTTCTGACCCGGGGCCCCATGGATGGGCTGGACCGGAGCCCGTGCATCCTTCTCTGCCGAGACAAGGTACGATGCGTCCCCTTGGACCACCGCTGGAGCAGGAGGCGATGCGTCCACCGGGACCACCGCTGGAGCAGGATGGTTGCGGCGTCGTCGGCGTGGGAGTCTCTTGCTCTGAGGCATGGAGATGATGCTGGCAGGAACCGAGGAGGAATGACAGCCCACCGGAGAGTAAGTGGTGGCGCTGTCAGGACCTGGTGAGGGTGTGGCGGTGTGACCCATCTGAGATGCTGAGGTGGCATCAGCGACTGGTGGAGGAGGATCTCGGCCAAAAGTGCGGAGGAGCAATGCAGCAAAGTCCCAAAACAACACCGCCCTAAGATCCTCTATGTCAAAGTGGTCAGCAACCCACTGCAAGGCTTTACCCCTCAACCAAAGCACCATATACGACACCTTGTCGAACTCTGAGGATTCCAAGTCCAAACAACGGGCACAGTCCCGAATGAACTCCACACAAAGGTCTGGATCACCATCGTAATAGATCTCCTGTGTACCTGGAGTTCCCGCTGGGTCCTGTGTTGGTCGGTCCATTCTGTCAGGATTTGATGTGGTAGGATGTGTAGGACCCAAAATGCAGAAAAACCAGATGAACCAAGCAGGAGTTAGATGATGAAAATAAATCCTTTATTTAGGAGTAGTCCACAGGCAGGGAGCCAAAACCCAAAAAACTAATAACTGAGCAATAAAAACACTAGAGGACTAGAGACACTGGAACACTGGCTGCTAGGAACAGGAACGAGACTGACAAGAACAACAAGCAAACATTAATGGACTGACAAGAACACAGAGACAGACAGGGCTTAAATACACTGGGAGGAGCAATCAGGGAAACAGGAAGCAGGTGTGTGGGGTGAGCTGCTGGAGGGAAGGCAGGTGACACTAATCAACTCAATGGGGAAAACAGAAACAGGATGGCAAATACCTTAACACAAAACTAAACAACAATTTCCTAAAGACAGAGGGAAGGACTCACACTAACTAGCTGGAGGAGGACATAGTACATACACACACTGAGCTGGGGACAACGAGGCTGGAGCTGACCTGGGAGGAAATAGTGAAAAAGATAATATCAGACACTAACGCCGGGGACACACTGGCCGCGGAAGCGCCGCGGAAGCGCCGCGGAAGCGCTGCGAAGCGCCGCGAAAATGGGACCGCCTTCATTCGGCGCCCTTGTTAAGCTATTCTATAGACCACATGGGCCGCCGAAGCGCTGCGAATCGCCTCGCGCCGGCGTGCGCCGGCGCTCCAGCCCGCGCCGTGCAGCGATCATTTCGGCGTTGGCTCTATTTTTTTCGCGTGCCGCGGGTGAATCGCGTCAATTCTGACAGGAAGTCAAACGTAGACATAAGAGGCAGGCCGGTAAAGTTAACAAAATAAAGCATTTCAAAATAAAATTCCGCAATAGTCAAATGTGTTCGTAAACAGACACTGCAGAAAAACCACACGAACACGCACACACATACACACACATCGAACTTGTGTGCGTGTGTGACCGCGTGAAGGGGGGTGCGGTTTTGGGTGTCTTTTCACCGGAGCAAACAGGACAGAGAGGCAGAAAGTCTGAGACAAGCAGTTAGGATGGATGACTTTAAATTAATTATGGAAGTTGAGAAACACAAGGAGCTGTACGACCCCCGAAAAACATGATTATTTACGTACCCATTTCGGAAGAAACTGCTAGGATACAGCTGCAGAATTGGAGCGGGTTCCAAGAGATTCAACTGACACACACACACACACACACACACACACACACACACACACACACACACACACACACACACACACACACACACACACACACACACACACACACACGCGCGCGCGCGTACAAACACTCAAACGTAGAGGAAAAGAGCTGAGAAAAGGCAGAGAGGAAATGGAGGACACCAAGTGTTTAAAAGAAAAACTACAGCTGAGCCGAGGCGCGCCTCGACTGGGGCGCGTCTGATCTGAACTGAGGAGCGGCGAGCAGCGGCCGAATTTCGTGAGCGATTCGCTTCTCGGCGCTTCGCGGCGCTTCCGCGGCCAGTGTGTCCCCGGCGTAAACTGACACACAGAAAAAGGACACAAGAGGGCGCCAAAGGGCTACAACATAAGACACATAACAGGGATGCAGACAAGGACACATGAGGGCGCTCAGAGAGCACAAGGGGAGAACCTGGAGTGGAGCACAAGAGGAGCTGGGGAACAAAGGGACACAAGAGGGACTCTAGAGAGGGATGGAGGACACCAGGAGGCACATAAAGGAAGGGGGCTGACGCAGACCATGACATTCACTGCATCCACAGCAGTGTGTAATAGTGCTTTAGACATTTCAGGTCTGTGGTTTAATTTTCATTTTAATTTCCACCAAGGAGGCATCACAGGTTATAGCATAATAATTTGTTAAAGGTCCAATAAATAAGAATTTTACAGTGAAATAATCACATAACAGTCTAATGTATCAATCATGTTGGAAGGAATGTTACATTTTTCCATATGCAGCCAAGGAAATGTATTTCACTACCTAGGCAACATGCTGCCCTGAAGTACGACTGACTCTTCCATACGAAGTGCTTCAACCAGGTTGCTGTCCAAGTGTGTTCATCTCCTCAGGAGGACGCCCAGGGAAGAGCCCATGCCGGAAAGGAGTATTTTTGTTGTTTAATTGAGGACGAGGGCATCGCAGGAGTGTTATACGTTACCATATCCTACTAACGCTAGGAGCCTGATCTCCTACAAATGTGGATTATCATCATCGGTTATCCTCAGATTAACTTTGTCTGCATTCACACGAAGGAGAGCATAACTATTTTCACAAAGTCTTTCCTCTCACATTTAGCAGAAGAAAACAAAAAGGGGAATTTGAAACTGGCCCGCATTTTCCAACATCTGGCTAACTCCTTCGACTCTCTCCCAGGATCGTAAATTGCGCCAATTTGACTGGCCTCCCTTCTGCTCCTCCCATCTGCGCCAATCAGGAGGCGCAAGTAATATCAGAAGACTGGGCTGTTTTACATCAACCTCAGACTGACCCTTTTCTCAAGATAGGGGAAGTCGTAAAAATTTCTTTTAGGTCCTCCTGGGAGTTTCAAGACCTGAGTCTTTATAAACCTTGCATTCCTGTTTATCTACAATCAAAGAAGGTGTTTAGGTTGTTTAAACTTAAAATAGAAATCAAGGTGCTCTAAATTAGAATCTTAGCTGCCACAGACCTAAACTGTTTGTTTTGTGTTTTCTTTTATGTTAAACCTCTGTCATTTGGTGTTTCTCCAGTTAAAATTCATGCTAATGGTAAAACCGTCCAGTTTTAAGACATGAATTTTATTGTTTCCCGTAATACTTTGATTCTAAAGTAATACTTTTTGAGGCTTTATATGAATAACTGTGTTAAATTGTGATCATGGACTTTCCATCTTGGAGAAGGTAAAGTTTATTTGGAAGAGCCACAGTGCCCTCCAGTGATTTTTGAGTGAGATACAGGTGGGTGTGCCCAAAAGGTTATATAAGCACCCATCCGAACCTCGTGGCGGCAGATTAAGAACCAAAGACGCCTTAAGCAAATCTTGCTTGGCTTTTCCATCTTGGCCTAGCAAAGCGTCACACTCAAAAGTTACAGTAAAAACTTAGAAGCAGCTCCAT